GCGCCGCGAAATTTGGTATGACTATTTCCTCATCAATTTTACACATGGTGTGCAAGTTTGAACCTCCTAACTTTTAAGGTCAGGTCACCAGGTCACTTTGAATGACCCAACCTCAAGTCACTTTTTTGCAACTTTGTCACCGTGCCAGAGCTACAGTAGATGTCGGAGGCCTTTGAAAGTCGCAGGATGTTATTAGGTCATTAGTAGCTACAATTTGTATATCTCGGAATTTTGATGTCGGTGACCTAAGGTCAGGTCAATTTCGCGACCTCCCCATTATAAGTCAATGGGGGAAAAATCAACTCCCTGTTTTTACCACTAAAACGGGTCGGAATGGCCCCATATACCATACATGACTTCACATACGATCAACCTTCACTACCTTGAGGTCTGTTTTGCTGTTGGGCAGCTGTAAGGTCATGTGACGTCATCAAAGGTCACCAAAGGTTTTTTGCCAATAACTCCTTACAGGAACAAGATACAGCCGCGCGGATGGTCTCATTGTGTTCAGCTCGTCAAGACGCATCGAATGATATACATGATGACCTCGAGGTCACGTGACCTGAGGTCAACCTTTGACCTTGACCTTTCGAGGTCAACATATATATCATTCGATGCGGATTGACAAGAGATCACGATGATGCCCTTAGTTTGTTCCTATCTTGACTACTTCGAAAGTTATTCGAGAAAAACCCTCTCCATATCAAGCGCCGCCATTTTGACTTTTTCGACCCCTGTGACGTCATCTTTGACCTGACCTGAAAATGACCTTAGTAAAAATTGTAGACCTTGTCCGTGCGTATCCGATGCCGTTTACCGCTTGTCGCTATCTTGCTTCGTTCTCGAGATCTCAGGGGGGGGGCGGTCATCCGCCCCCCCGTCGGTACTAAGTTGGCGCAGACCCCCGTCGGTGCGCGGGTTAATATCTTTAATTATGCGTCATTGTTGCTATCTTTTTTAGAGCTCGGATTGAGTTAGGGGAGAGTGGGTGTAACTGTATCGGTCTGGCCCGGACCCGGGCTGGGTGGACGGGGCTGGGGTCGGACTCGGCCGACGCGGGCCCATGTGCCGGCCATGTGTCTCCCCGGCGGCGACACGCGGTGGACGGGAGCCGCGGGCCGCGGCAGTGTGAGGTCGGCGATAGCCCGTGGTGGGTGAGCGACCGTGTGGAATACATACAGAAACTACAAGCTATTTCGGCATTGCGAAAAATGGCCAACAAGACCGGCAGTGGGACTGTAGACGTGAAAGGAGTGGACTCGAGTGGACAGACCGTGGTGGTGGCGCCCAGTGTCGCATTCGACGCGCGTGTGATCGCCGAATTCGATGGGACCGGCGATGTGGTCGAATGGCTGGGCAGAGCGGAGCTGCTCTGCCAGCACCGCGGAATGGATGCAGCAGCGATCATCCCACTCCGGTTGACCGGCGGAGCCTTCGCCGTGTGGGCGCAGCTGCCGGACGAAAGCCGTGTCAGTTTGGCGGCCATACGCGCAGGCCTGTACCAGGCTTTTGCGCTTGATCAGCATGCAGCATACGAGGCCTTCACCACCCGAAGACTCCGCAGTGGAGAGTCAGCCGATGTGTTTCTGGCGGACCTTCAGCGGCTGGCACAGCTGTTTGGTGGCGTACCGGAGCGTGCGCTGACCTGCGCTTTTGTAGCAGGTCTGCCCGAGTCTGTTCGGCAGATGGTGCGGGCTGGGTCTAGAGCGGAAGGGCTCGACCTTGCCAGTGTGCTGGCGCGCGCCAGAGCTGTGCTCAGCGACGAGCGCGTGGCGGCGGCGGCGGCGGCGGCGGCGGCGGCGGCGGCGGCGGCGGCCGGGCCGGCACCCCTCGCCCCCGCCCTCTCCCGTCAGCGGCTGTCAGCGCAGGAGGGACCGTCGCGCCGGGCCAGCCGGCCGCGGCGCTGCTGGGCATGCGGTGATATAGGCCATATGTCCTTCTCATGCCCCCGCCGAGCTGCGGGAAACGACGGAGGAGAGGACGAGTCAGCGCCGGCGTCCTCTCGCGTGCAGCACTGAGCGGCGCTCTGCCAGTCGTGCAACTGCGAGTCAACGGGCGAGACTGTCGAGCGCTAATCGACACCGGCTGCACCGATAACATCATTTATGCACCGTTCTGCGAACAATGGCAGCGTGGACCTGTCTCGGTGACGACGATGAGCGGTGACGAGTTTCAGTGCACTGGCTCGGGCAGTGCTGACGTGGTGACTGTGACCGGGCAGCGGGCCCGAGTGAGTGTGCTGGTGGTGAGCGAGCGGCCCCTGGGAGTGGAACTAATTATCGGCATGTCTGGCATCTCTAGCCTGGGGGGTGTGAGTGTGCAGTCACCGTCTCAAGTCCGCTTCTGTGGAGCCGCTGCCCGTGCACCACTCGAAGTTGACGCGCCGGACTTTAGTGTGCGGTTCGACTCGGCAGAGCGAAAGTGGACTGTGGCTTGGAAGTGGGCGGACAACTCTGGCCCTGAGTGCCTGGAAAACTCTGTGCCCCAGTACTCCGTGCCACGGTCCGCCCGCTACGAATTTGACACAGAGCTGGATACATGGATCAGCAACGGCTGGCTGCTGCCATACGACGAGCAGCGGCTCGGCCCGCCGCGAGGGCTCGTACCGCTGATGGCTGTACAACAGAAGAATAAGGAGAAAGTGAGGCCGGTGCTGGACTATCGGGAGTTAAACAGCCACCTAAACGCCCACACCGCTGAAGCAGATGTCTGCGCCGATCAGCTGAGGAAGTGGCGGCGTCACGGCAGAAACGTGGCGGTCGTTGACCTCAAAAAGGCGTACCTTCAGATCCATCTCGACGAAAGTCTATGGCCGTATCAAACGGTTGAGATTCGTGGCCAGCGCTTCTATCTGGGGAGGCTAGGATTTGGACTCAGCCTAGGGCCGCTAGTCATGAAGGCGGTCGTCAGTGCTGTGCTGGCACAGGACCCTGAAATCCAGCGTGCAGTGCTCTCATATGTGGATGACTTGCTGGTAGATGAGGACATTGCGAGCGCGGAGCGGGTTGTCAGTCATTTCGCCAGGTATGGACTCGAGTGCAAGGCCCCTGAGCGTGTGTCTGATGGTGCGCGGCTGCTCGGACTGCGAGTTCGCCCACTGCGTGACGAGCTGCACTGGGAGCGAGACAACCCTGTCGGCCCCCCGCCCAGCCCGCTGACCCGCCGCAGCGTGTTTGCTTGGTGCGGTCGCCTGGTGGCCCACCTCCCGGTCTGTGGGTGGCTGCGTCCCGCTACAGCCTGGCTCAAACGCCGTGCTAATGCTGTGACACGCGGCTGGGACGACATGACAGCGGACCGTACGCTGCAGGCGCAGGTCGATCATGTGGCTGAACGGGTGAACAGTGACGATCCGGCGCACGGCGTGTGGTGTGTCTCAGGTGACGCGGCCGTGGTGTGGACGGATGCCAGCTCGCTGGCCGCAGGCGTTGTTTTGGAGACCGCAGACGGGGGTCCACGTCAAAACAGCTAGTGACTATTGAGCTAGTGACTTTTGAGCTAGTACAAAAGAGCTAGTGCTTTAAAACAGCTAGTGACAAAACAGCTAGCGCCAAAATAGCTAGTAATGCAAAACAGCTAGTACCTCAAATCAGCTAGAGACAAAAAAGCTAGCGTCAATATAGCTAGTAGAGCAAAATAGCTAGTGCTTCATTATAGCTAGTGACAAAATCGCTAGCGTCGAAATAACTAATGAAGCTGTAGCTTATTCGTACGAAGTACGGGCAGCTATTATAGATTCTTTCCCGACGAGCCCTTTGTGAAGATTTCGCTCGTTTTCTTAATTTCGAAACGTCGCAAATTGTTGAAACTTTTGAGGAATTGCAAGAGGAAGTGGAACGGCTGGGGGAAGAAGGATTACATCAATTATACGATTACTTTGAAGATACATATATAGGAAGGCTGGGTAGAAGGAGCAGAAGAGCACCGTTGTTTGACAAAATTATTTGGAATGTTAGAAGGAGGACAGAGGAAGGGATCCCTAGGACAAACAACAAATTAGAAGCGTGGCACCGGGGAATACAAGGCATGTTTGACTCATCACACCCATCATTAATGAGATTTTTCACCGCCATCCAAAAAGAACAAAATCTTCAAGCATCTGATCTTGTGAAATTCAAAAGTGGCCAGGATGTTCAAAAACAAAAGAAAACATACAGAGACATGAATGCCAGATTGGTCACTCTACTGAGACGCTACAGGGAAGGCATTATTAGCAAAAAAGAATTCATTCGGGGAGTAGGCTTCAACATCACTTTGAATGTTTGAGATGGCATGACGCGGGAAATACATGAGTCATAGATATCTTGCATTTTCGAAGCGAAGTGATTGGGAAGGGAACAGAGGTCCAACGAAATAGCTATTTTGACGCTAGCTGTTTTGTCACTAGCTGTTTTTAAGCACTGGCTATTTTGCTTCACTAGCTATTTTGACGCTAGCGATTTTGTCACTAGCTATAATGAAGCACTAGCTATTTTGCTCTACTAGCTATATTGACGCTAGCTGTTTTGTCACTAGCTGTTTTGAGGCACTAGCTGTTTTGTACTAGCTCAAAAGTCACTAGCTCAAATGTCACTAGCTATTCTGACGTGCACCCGCAGACGGTGGCCCTGTGGAGGATGCCTGCTGGCTGAGGCGTGAAGCTGCTGCTTCTACCCACATAAACATGGCTGAACTGGATGCTGCTGTGAAGGGTATCAACCTAGCCATCGCATGGGGGATGAGAACTGTTGAACTGCGAACTGACTCTGCCACAGTCCATCGATGGATTGACGACGCTCTGAGTGGGCGAGCCCGGCTCCGCACTAAGGCACACGGCGAGATGTTAATCCGGCGGCGTGGCGACCTTATTCGCCAGCTGGTGGAAGAAATGGGTCTCGTGCCGACAGTGACCCTGGTCAGGTCAGACGAAAATCGCGCAGACGCCCTGACACGGGTTCCGAAAGAGTGGCTGAGGCATGACGCATCAGGGCCCGCGGCAGTCGGCACGGCGGTGGCCGCCGACACGGGAGCGGCAGTCGGCACGGCGGTGGCCGCCGACACGGGAGCGGCAGTCGGCACGGCGGTGGCCGCCGACACGGGAGCGGCAGTCGGCACGGCGGTGGCCGTCGACACGGGAGAGGCAGTCGGCACGGCGGTGGCCGCCGACACGGGAGCGGCAGTCGGCACGGCGGTGGCCGCCGACACGGAAGCGGCAGTCGGCACGGCTGTGGCCGCCGACACGGGTGCGACCGCGGTGGTCGGCGCGGCGGTGGCCGCCGGCACAGAAGCGGCGGTGGCGACCGGGGCAACAGTAGACGCCTCTATTGCTGAGCTGCACGAGCGCGCCGGTCACCCAGGGATTCGCCGCACCTGGTATTTCGCCCGTCGTGACATCGCTCCTACCATTACTCGGTCTCAGGTGCGTGCTGTTGTGAAGCACTGTGATGTCTGCCGCTCAATCGATCCGGCACCGGTCACCTGGCGTCACGGATCGCTGGAGGTAACGGAGACGTGGCAGCAGACATGTGCTTGGATCCGGAAAAATGGATCTGAGATCCAATCCCATGGATCCCGATCCAAGATCCATTCAGATCATAGATCCAACCCCTCAATTTTGTCGAGAGATCTACTGGGATCATAGATCTGACCCTTCAATTTTGTCGCTAGATCCACTCGGATCATAGATCTGGCTCCCCAATTTTGTCGTGAGATCCATTGGGATCATAGCTCATAGGTGCTCAAAATGTTAACAACTTTCTTTCATAAGAAATTATGAATACCAAAATATGGTTAGAAACAAACAATCTTATACAAAGACCATATTAGTAAAGGCATCCAGTTACATTATACAGAATACAAAATAAAGGAGGCTCATGAGTCATGATGGTCACAACTTAAGAGAATTGAGTGACATGAAGATTGTTCACAGTTCACATACCAACAGAAAAGTTTGAAACAACAACAGAAACAATAAACATAGAGGTAAGTCAAAGTAATGACTAATGAACAATACATAACTAGGTACCTACCTACCACATCACAATTCATGTTAGAATCTACATAATGATATTGATAAGACAATCTCATTGATCTTGCATTAGACAACCATGAGGCTTTCCAGTTTCCAGCTACCACAATTGATTGATAAACAATAAAAGATGATACTGACACATGTGGCTTGGTTAGGTAAAGGTATTTCAATCTATTGAAAGAAATATTTGATAAAATAAACTGAGATATAAAACAAAAGTATAAAAATATTCAACAGCCTGCGGAAGCGATGGGAAGCGAAATATCAATTGTAATGGCCTTGGATATTTACCGTAAAATGAATATTCAGTATCTAAATTGAACTCGTGACGTCATTTCAAATAACAAATGAGCTAGGCGTTCTACCTTCCAGTATAATGAAAATAAATAAAAAATCAAACTGGAAGTTCAAAAGTCTGGAGCTTTTTTTTTAAAGAATGTTCATTTTTTCTGCCTCACATAATTTTACGATACGATTGTTTGTGAATATCATCTTTGTAGCGTTGAATTTGATGACGTAAACGTAAGCTGAAACGGTATTATATGGCCCTGAGCGGTGTGCGCCTTGCATCTTTATTTTATTCATTTTTCAAAAGGATAACAATATCTTACGTCATTAGTTAAAAGGGCCTATTACGGAGAATCTTTTGGAATCATTACGGGCTTGGTCAAATTAAGATTTTTCATTGGTCAAACGATAATGACGTAATAAAACCGTATTACCAAAACGTGAGCTGTGAATTTCGTTTGTCTTTTTTTGGGAGGCTCTCTCATAACAAAAGCACAGCACCACCACACGTGTGGCACGGTGCCAAAAGTGGCCAAAAGTAGGTAATCTGAAGAAGTTGATGCCATTTTTGAACTTGTAATTTTATTAGGAAAGTATTAGAGGTTGGTTGCTATTCTTACTAAATCGAAATTGTGTTGCACATACTAATAGCTCATATGAACATTCTGGATTGGGATTTCATACCTGGCAGAAGTGGATTGCTGGATTATTTTTAACAAAACTGACCTATTTGGCTTCCAGGTTTGATTTCCTAACATCTGTCCATAGGCGGCAGAACAGGGGGGGGGGGGTGGCACCAGGGTACAGTGCCCCCCATAGATTTTGGCATTTTAGCATTAGCCCTACTGGCGTTGCAGAAAGAATGGGACCAAAATGAAAATCTGCAGTGCCCTGCTGCCACTGCATCTGTCTGTACTGTTTGTTCTTTGAATTAAAGTGGCTGTAGCTTGTTGATAAGATTGTCATCAGTGCTGTCATGAAAAAGTTACAATTGGTCACAAAAAGTAGCAATATGCATGTACTTGGTTTATTTTAAATGTAGTACAAATGTTGTTTATTTAAATTCAAATTTAATGATGATACCTAATGATCACAAGTGGTCTTAACCAATAACCATGTCCACAAGTGATAATTCTCAATTGTATTGCACTGTAAGGTGTTCAATTATGTAGGATAAGGGTTTCATTGGCTACATGTTGTCGTGAGATCCATACAGATCATAGGTCCTCCACAAATTTTTGCCCGCTGGATCCACAGAGATCATAGATCTGACCCCTAAATTTTGTCGAGAGATCCATTCAGATCATAGATCCAACCCCTGAATTTTGTCGAGAGATCCACTCGGATCATAGATCCAACCCCTCTATTTTGTCGAGAGATCCACTGAGATCATAGATCCAGCTCTCGGATCCAAGCACATGTCTGCGTGGCAGCGGCTGGCCATCGACGTCACCCACTACCAGCACCAGTCGTACCTGACAGTGATCGATTGCGGTCCGTCTCGTTTCGGTTTGTGGCGGCAGTTGCGTCGGCCGGACGCGGAAAATGTTGTGTCGCATCTGGAAGCGATATTATGCGAACGTGGAGCGCCATGCGAGATTCTATGTGATAATGACACTGTGTTTCGTGGACGACATTTTGCGGCGTTCGCGGCGAAATGGGGCGTGGTTTTGCGGTTCCGAGCAGCATACGAGCCGGGCGGTAACGGTATTGTTGAACGGCATCACCGGACAGTTAAGGTTATTGCCGCTTGAAAGCAATGCTCAATCCCAGAGGCCGTGCATCTTTACAATGTGTCGCCCCGCGACAGCGACAGCGCCAGTGATGCCCCCGTCGGTCGGATTTATCGCTACACAGTGCGCGACTGTGTCGGGTCAGCTGGTCGCCAGCTGCCGGTCGGTGACAGTGACGGTCAAGGGCGCAGCCAGGGAACGGACGGCCGTGGGAATGGCCGCGAGGGATCGGGCGGCTCGGAGCCGGCGGCGCCGCGCGGGACGGGCGAGTTCGCCCCTGGTGACGCTGTGTGGGTCAGGCGCCGTGGCACGCGATGCACGGACGTATCTGAACCTGGTGTCGTGTCCTCAGTAGTTTCTCCACAGGTAGTAGTAGTTGATGGCACCCCTCATCATGTTAGAAACCTGCGACATCGCAACGTGAGCGATAACTGTTTGGTT